ATGCATCTGTCTATGTGCATCCGTGTACGTGTGGATCTGTGTACATGCATCTGTCTATGTGCATCCGTGTACATGCATCCGTGTACGTGCATCCATGAATGTGCATCTGTCTATGTGCATCCGTGTATGTGGATCCATGTACGTGGATCCGTGTACATGCATCCGTGTATGTGCATATGGAGACCAGAGAAGGATGTCAGGTGTCCAGCTCTGTTACTCTGTCTCATCCCCTTGAGACAGGATCTCTCACTGAGCCTGGAGGTAGGCTGGCAGTCAGCAAACCCCAGTCCTCCTGTGTAACCACACTGGCTTTTCAAGTGGGTGATGGAGATTTAAGCATTTAAATACTGAGCCATCAGCCCTCACACACATCTTTTTAAAGTCAGGAAAGGCTTCATGTAGCCCAGGCTGGCTCCACCCCTGGTCTGCCACAGGTCAGGAGCATCCTACCTCTCACTCTCATCAGCAGCCTTCTCTGCCTCTTCCAGCTTCTGCAGGGCTGTAGCCAGCTGCTCCTGAGCACGGTCCAGCTCCTCCTCCAGCAGCTGGAGGCGGCGGTTGAGAGCCGCTGCATCTCCTTCAGCCTGGAAAGTCAGATACACACCCAGATTAAGAAGAGGCAAGCTGGCAGGCAGGAGCCTTCCACCCCCTCCCCCTCAGTGACCCTGACACCCAGCCACAACCTACCCAGGGACCCAGGCTCAAGGGAATTCATACTCATTTAAATTTGATTTTTAAAAATTATTGATCTGTGACACAGGGCCAGACTGGTCTCTAACTCCTGGACTTAGGGATCCTTCTGTCTCAGTCTCCCTGGGTGCTGACACAAGGCAAGGCACAGTGCCCCAGCCTCTCTGGAGAACATGCAACTGAGCAAATTTATTGTTTTATCTTCAAGTCTCACCCACCTTACAGGTGGAGACAAGGAGGTCCCACTAGTGCAGTGGTTTTGTTTAGTGACTTAGGGCTCTGTCACCCAGGGGTGGCTACCCTCAAGAAGGAGCATGGAAAGTTGGTCACATGAGACTCAATTAGCAGGGCATGGTGACACACACCTATGATCCCAGCTCCAGGAGATTGAAGTCAAAGGACAAAGAGTTTCAGGCTAACCTGAACTATTATACAGTAAGATCTCTGTCAAAATACCAGAAAGAGGGGGAGTTGGCTTAGGGGCAAAAGCACTTGCGGCCCAGCATAAGGACCTGAGTTTGAATTCCTAGCACATACTTTAAAATAGCGGGTGAGTTCATGAGGAGATGCAGAGGAAGCCATGCTGCAGGCTTCCTTTAAGGAATAACCACTACATGGGGACAGCTATAAAACTCAGTGGGAGTCTGGGACCTCTCTGCCTCAGTTTACACAGCAGGAGAAGTAAAAGAACAATGCCAGGTGCCTGTAAATATACAGAGGACGCCCCCCCCAAGTTTGTGATCTGTGACTACCCTCCCCCAACACCAATATGTGCCTGTGTGTCTCAGGTCTCTCTTCTCCCACAGTGTGGGTCCTAGGGATTGAACTCAGGTCATCAGCCTTAGTGGCAAGCACCTCTACCCAGCTGAACCATCTCAGTGGCCCATGGGTGCCTCTTTCTTATGCCTTGAACCTCAATACCTATCACAAACAGCAACTGGGGAGGATTGGTTCCAGCCCACTGCAGTTTTTAGTATATTTAGGGAAAGCAACCAGGACCTCTATCTAGTTTGTTAACTTTTGCCATTTTCTACAAAGAACCTAAGTTAGTGGAGTTTTTAGTTGGTTTTTTGAGTTATGAATCCCAGGTTGGCTTCCAACTACATAGTCTGGCCCTAACTTCTGATTCTCCTGCCTCAACCTCTCAAGTGCAGGAACTGCTCCTCATTCAGTAGCCTGGGCTACAGGAGCACAAGGCCACACCCAACGTAGTCATCACTTCCACAATCACACTGAGTTTCCTCATTCATGAATTGTCTCAAAGGAAAAGAACTTAGACGGCTGAGGCACACTTTGAATCTTGGCATCTTCTCCTCTCCCCTCCCCTCCCCTCCCCTCCCCTCCCCTCCCCTCCCCTCCCCTCTCCTCCCCCTCCTCTTCTCTCTTCTCTTTTCTTGATGTCTATGACTAAATTTACCCCTGAACCTAGCATGGGGAACAGGGCTCAGGAATCAGTTCCTTTGGCAGCCTTCTGGGCCACTGCTCGCCGTCATTAGGACAGGCACTGAATTTGACTCAGCTGCAAGCATATTTTCAACTGTTTAAAATCGAAAAAGTTCTCGTTCACAACCACGCATTAACAGAAGCGCACACTCGAGCCACACACACACACACACACACACACACACACACACACAGAGGCTAAGTCATCTTGAGCTCCGCCCCTTCCTGCAATCAAAGCCTTCCAAGGGCTACAAAGGGTTTCCCTTATAAGGTAAAAGAGGCTTGCTAGATACTTGTGGCCAAGCAACAGGAAGACGTCGACGTCGGTTAATCACACAAAAATCTAAATGAAACCAGCTGTTGGGACACAGGCCCAGAAGTCAGCCACACACACACACACACACACACACCATCTGGGTGCTTCTGGCCCGGAATCAACTTGAGATGTCTTTCTACAACCAAAAGAAGCATGCTCTACCACACAAACTTTTAAAGAAGCCCTAAAGTTTTCCAAAAGGCATCCCCCGCACCCCACCCTTAGACCGCCAAATTCCTGGCTTGGATGGAGTTTTGAGGCCATTTTGGAGATGCCTAGGGTGGAATGGGCGTATAAGAAGCCAGAACAGCTACTGTGAAGAACTTCCGCCCAGTTCTGAGCAGCCCGAGCGGTCCTTGAGGGATTCAAGGCTTCTACTCAGGCCAGGCTGTCGCCCAGCAGCCTTGGGAGAAGTCCAGGCGGTGCCTGCGCTGCCAACTCCACCTGGCCTTTCAGTTTCTAGGATTCCCGCTCTGAGTTCCCACACTCCCGGCTTCAGGGGACCTGAGCGATCACGCAATACCCCTCCCTTGTCTGTGAGTGTCCTTCGCTAGCAAACGCCGCTCTGCTACTAGGGGGTCTCCATGCCCCGGAATGCCTCTCCCTAGTCTTGTCTTTCCACCCACCTCTAGTGGAGTCTTGGGAGACACGCATAGAATGCTTTGTGGGTGCCAGAGCTGGGGTTAGAACCCAGATCCGTCTCTGGCCCTGGGCTTGACCCAGGGAGGAAGAGGAGGCGCGGAGGCTCCGTCCTCTTTCCGAACTATTCATGCACCCGGGTCCCTGGACTCTCAGGGAAGGCGCATACAGTGGGCGCTCTGGTAGCGGCGGTGGACAGGCCCCCTAGTGGGTATTCCCTGGGTCTAGGGACACGGGGTGGTGGGTGTCCTGCAGGCCAGCGTCCAAATTCTCCTGCCCCCACCCCGCCCTCAGCGGACACGTCGCGGCCGCACCCTAAGGACGCACCGGGAAAGTTCAGGCGCGAAGAAGCAAGAGCGCGCGCCGCTCCCGCCCCCGCCCCCACCTTGGTCCAGCCGCAGACAATGGGAGCGCGGTATCTGCCCCACCGCTCCGGAGAGCCCCGCGCAGGACTGTCCCCCGCAAGCCCCCAGTTCCTGCCCCGCCAGCATACGGGGCTCCGGGGTCCAAGAGTGCAGACGATCAAGGCGGAGGACGGACGGAGGGCGGGGGTGGGGGGAGCTGGAAGCGCGCGGAGCAGAGAAGAAAAGAGGGCGTGAGGGAGAGGGGCCCGGGAACGCGGGGACGAAAGCTGGGGTCGGGAGGGGGCCGCGGACAGCGCGGGTCCGGGTCTCTCACTTTCTCGCGCCGCTCGCGCTCGCCGTCCAGCTCGCGCTGCAGGCCCTGCGCTCGGTCCTCCGCGTCGTCTGCCTGCTGCTGCAGGGCCTGGATCTTGCGCTTCACCGCGTCCAGAGAGTTGAGGCCGGCCATAGCTCACTCGCTCCGCTGGGCTCCAGCGACAGCTAGGCGGCCGCACCCGGGCCCGTGAGCCTTGGCCACGCCGGGGCCGCCCCCGCCTCTCCCCGCCCCGTCCCCCCCCCACCCCCGCCCTGCTGTCAGGCCGATGAGGTCACCCCGGCCGGCCGCGACGTCAGCATCGGGCGGGGGGTGGTGGCAGGGGGTGGCTGACGTAGGCACCGCTGGCGGCCTTTGCCCTGGGGGCTCCTAGTCCTCCCGCGAGGCCCGCCCCGCCTAGCCCAGCGGCCAAGCACTTACCTGGGATCTTCTCCGCCTGCTTGAGTTTCTTCCTCACGTCTTTCAGGACCTTGGAACGCCTGTTCCGTTCTTCCTCCATGCTTTTCTGTTTCTTCTGGACGTGCATCAGCTGCTTTTCCACCTGGAGACACAGGAGGGAACGAGTCAGCCTCATGGTCTGTTGCCTGGCACTTGAGAGGCTGAGGCAGGAGGACTGGAAGTTTGAGGCCCTGCAAATGAACACAAAGCCTGTATGAGCTGGGGAGATGGCTCCACGGGTAAAGGTGCTTCCTGCCAAGCCTGATGCCCAGGGTCCATTAACCTCACACATGCACCCCCACATTAATGTAGAAAGTAAAAGGTTTATACAGAGAAGGTCTTCCTCAGAGGACACAAGTTTGTGAAAGTAAAAAGTATGTATAGACAAAGTCTTGGACAGAGGACTCAGGTTTGATTCCCAGCTCCTGTTCCGGGGGAGCCAACATCCTCTGCTTCCATGACCCCTTAGCACAGGCACGCATGCAGGCAAAACACTAATGTAAAATATAACCCCACACACACACACACACACAGTGGTGAGTGTGCGTTACTGAATACTCTTCTCTTGACCTAGGGACTGACCATTCTTGGACTCACCAGAGTCCCCACTCTCTTGAGGAAGTCAGAGCTTTAGTTTGCAACACTACAAATTGATTTTTGCACTCTCATTTTCCAAAGGCAGGTCTCAGATGATCTCTGTTTAAGCAAAGTGGACCCTATGAAAACTCCCTGAGTTCCGTAGGTAGAGACTTTCTGATCAATGTGCAAGCCCTTTCTCTGCTGAGAACCTTTCTTGGCTTCCCATTGCTCTGGATAGTGTTACTGAGGAAGGTGTCACCAAAGCATCCTCAAGGCCCCAGATCCTGCTCCCACTCCAATCTTGGTCCCACATCTGGCTTTCCGGGCTGTCCTGGAAGAGACTGACTCTCAGGACCAACTCCCTTCTGAGCTCCTCTAACTTTCGAATGCTTGTCATGCATCTGTTTTAATTAACATGTCCTTTGACCTTCCCTGGAATCTAGTGCTGTTTGTTCTGAGATCTGTCCCCCCTCCCCCATTTCCCATTTGAGGCACCCCGTGTCAGTGTCTCTTTTGAGGCACCCCGTCAGTCTCTCTGAGAGACACTCAGCCACCATGTGACACCTCCTAGCTGCTAGGGTCACTCTTTGTCAACTCCACAGGATCTCCTGCTACCCCTGATGTGGCCTGGAGCAGGACTCGCCCACTGCCTAAGTACTCCCCTGCTCCAAGCTTCCTGTCCTCCCAGCCGGAAGCACTGAGGGCGGTTGCCTTTCTGTAGATTAACCCCCACCACTTCCCCTAACCCCCACAGGACTGGAACCCAGTTCTTAAAATAAATTTGATGGGGACTGCATGATCACACCAAGACTCAGATCTCTATGGACAGTAAGTGTTAAGTAAGATGATAGCCAGCTACATATGTGTGTGTGTGTGCATACTTGTGAGTGTGGGCAGGTGTGTGTGTGTGTGCACACATGCAAGCGTCCACTTTTTTCCCCTCCCCCCCTTTTTTTTGATTTTTCAAGACAGGGTTCCTCTGTGTAGTCCTGGCTGTCCTGGAACTCACTCTGTAGACGAAGCTGGCCTCGAACTCAGAAATCTGCCTGCCTCTGCCTCCCAAGTGCTGGGATTAAAGACGTGCGCCGCCACTGCCAGCCCCCACCACCCCCCTTTTTTTGACACTGCTTCTCACCCTATGGATCAGGCTCAACTTCACAGAAATCTGCTGCCTTTCCTCTTGACCCTGGATTAAAGTGTTGTTTCTTTCCTCCCAAAGGGAGTGCTTGTCAGAGTTGCCACCTGGGAGGTCCTGAGGCTCTGGGCTGATTGGATGAACTCAGGGCTGCAGGCATAGGGCAGACACTCCTAAGTGAATAGGAGTTAGAGCCCATTCTCCAGGTGGTAGAGTCAGCAGAGAGCTGTCCCAGCTGGCTTGTCTCAGGTCTCCAAGGCCACTCTGGACACCATCCCAGCCTGCCACAAGGACGGATGTGACTGGGCCCATCCCATCATTCATAGCACTTCAGGCTAAAGGGAGAGCCTTGACCTCCAGGCAAAGAGCTAGAGTCTTGCTCTCTGCCACAGATAGGTGAGCCCTCTCCCCGCCCCTTTCATGGCCTTAGTTTCCCCAACAACTGAATGAAAACCTTAATCTGGTGAACCTTGAACACTCTAGGGCAGGTAGCTGTCTGTGTTTGACTAAGAGATTGAGTCAGCTCCCTTAAAGACACCTCACAGACCAAGGCTGGCCATCACCCACTTGTCTTCCTTCTGGACCTGTGCAGTGGAGTATTTATTGAGTACTTACTGTATGCAAGCATGGGAGCTCTCTCAGTGTGAATCAGATTTGACTCCACTGGATATGAATCATAGGTTATAAAGGGAGTTTGAGGGGTTTTGTATTCTTTTTTAAAAGTGTGTGTGTGTGTGTGTGTGTGTGTGTATGCACACTCTCGCTCAAGTACCTGCAGAGGTATTGGGTTCCCTGGAACTGGAGTTACAGGCAGTTGTAAGTTGCCTGACGGGTGATGGCAGCTGAATTCAGGTTCTGCGTTAAGAGCAGCAGGTGCTGTTAACCACTGCCCCATCTCTAGTCCTGTTTTGTTTTGTTTGTTTTGTTTTGTTTTGTTTTTTGAGGCAGTGTCTAATTTAGCCCAGGTATTCTTCCAGGTTCCTATGGAGCCAGGGACGAGCTTGAATTCCTGAACTTTCTGCCTCCACCTCCAGAGGGATGGGGTGACACCCTGTGTCCTCTCACCTGCCTGGGCACTTAAGTGAGTTCTTGATCTTTTGGGAGACAGCATTTGTACAAGAACAGTTGGGACTTACAGAGATACAGGCTCACTGAAGTCCCATGTTAGAATGGCAAACAGTCCCTGAAAGCAGGATGGCCCCTGGATCACACAGGACTTTGGTGTCAGTGCTGGTTTGACTAGAGGCTGTGCTATCCACTGTGAGGATGCTCACTCAGCCTCCTCCCTCTAGCACCCTGAGGCTGGGATGTCCCTCTCTCCTCCAGCCGGGGCTCACTGGGGGCTCTGTTTACAGCTGAAGTCACCACAGGCCCAGCAACAGCGCATAGCAGGAAGTGATCTTTGGTATGTGGTAGTGTATGTGTGTACACATTCGTGAGTGTTCGTGCCTGTGTTGTATGTGTGTACACATGCGTGAGTGTTCGTGCCTGTGTTGTATGTGTGTACACATGCGTGAGTGTTCGCGCCTGTGTGTAAGACAGAGGTTAACGGTGGGCATCTTCTTCTAATTGCTTTCCATTTTGTTTTTGAAGTAGACTTTCTGACTAGAACTGTAGTCCATTAATTTGGTGAGACTGGCTGGGCAGGGAGCCCTGGGTCAGCCTGTCGCTGATACCCCCAGACATGCCCTGCTGTGCTGGACTTTACATAGTATCTGGGAGTCTAGACTCAGGCTCTCATGGGTGTGAGGCAAGCACTTTACTCACTCTGCCATCCTCTACACACTCCAGAGATTCCAGTGGCAGGAGGTGGGGAAAAGAAGGAAACAGCACCAACAGGCCAGAGTCGCTTCCTGTCCAGATCTCATGCCCAAAGCCTTCCCTGACCAGCCACTGTGCTTTGGGACTCAGTTTTTCTCCCAGTAAAGTGGTTACAGAATACACAGTTTAACGAGGTGGAGGCAGGATGTGGGGTCAAAGGGCAGCAGTAACGGATGTTGCTGCCCTGGGCTGCAAGTGGGGCAGGAAACAGCCAGGCCAGTTTTCCATCCTGCTTCCCCACTGGACAGGCACAGCCAGGAACTGGATCTGGCTGAAGGTCCCTGGGGGTCATGGGGACAGTGTTAGGTTCAGATGGGACCTGACTGGTTCTCTCTGTCTTCCTGCAGTGTTAGGCCCTCAAGGGAAGGGAAGTCCATATTGTTATCTGTAGCCAACCTGCAGCCTCCCTCACCAGCAGGAGTGACTGACCTTCAGTACCACACCCTGCCTTCTTCTCCAGGAGGTGGGACCTGGTATCCCACCACAGAGCATCCTAAGATTTCACTGAGGCCTCAGAGATGGTGGCCTCTAGCCAGGTGCAGTGGTGAACTCCTGTCATCGTGGCACCTGGGAGGTTCAGACAGGTGGATGACTTGTGGGCCAGCCTGTGCTACATAGCTGGATCATAAGTCAAAAGCCACACCATCGCCACAGCTCAGTGAGTAAAAGTGCTCACCACCAAGCTTGAGAACCCGGATTTAGCCCCAGGACCCGAAAGATGGAAGGAAAGAAGCGACTCCTGAAAATTGTCCTCCAATCTTCATGTGTGCACCCCACTCCCCACAAACACAAAGCAGATAAATAAGACGAGAGACACTTGGATTTCCACCCAGGTCACTCCTAGCAATTTCCTTGAGAAAAAAGGAAAATATAGAAACAAAAACAAAACCAAAACCTAAAAAAAGTCCTGGGCTTGGGGAACTGGCTCACTGGATAAGAAAACTTACAGCACAAACATGATGGTCTGAGTTCAAATCCCCAGCACTCATATTAAGAAGAAAACATGTACATGTACTGTGACCCCAACACTTTGGAGGTCAGTGACAGGAGGATTACCAGTACTTACTGCTGCCAGACCAGGTCCAGGATCAGCAGAGAGACCCTGCCTCAGGAGAGTAAAGCTGAGGATGACAGAGCTGGGTACCAGTCCCCTCTTTCCTCTGGGACACAGATGTGTGTGCAACACACACACACACTCACACAAAGAAAAGAAAAATCCATCG